CAGGCATGGAGTCGGTCAAGAAGCAGATGGAGCAGCTGTGAACAGCGTCTCTTCACACCTGCAGCTGTGAACAGGCATGGAGTCGGTCAAGAAGCAGATGGAGCAGCTCTGAACAGCGTCTCTTCACACCTGCAGCTGTGAACAGGCATGGAGTCGGTCAAGAAGCAGATGGAGCAGCTGTGAACAGCGTCTCTTCACACCTGCAGCTGTGAACAGGCATGGAGTCGGTCAAGAAGCAGATGGAGCAGCTCTGAACAGCGTCTCTTCACACCTGCAGCTGTGAACAGGCATGGAGTCGGTCAAGAAGCAGATGGAGCAGCTGTGAACAGCGTCTCTTCACACCTGCAGCTGTGAACAGGCATGGAGTCGGTCAAGAAGCAGATGGAGCAGCTGTGAACAGCGTCTCTTCACACCTGCAGCTGTGAACAGGCATGGAGTCGGTCAAGAAGCAGATGGAGCAGCTGTGAACAGCGTCTCTTCACACCTGCAGCTGTGAACAGGCATGGAGTCGGTCAAGAAGCAGATGGAGCAGCTGTGAACAGCGTCTCTTCACACCTGCAGCTGTGAACAGGCATGGAGTCGGTCAAGAAGCAGATGGAGCAGCTCTGCAAGCAACTCTCTCTCGACATCCGCCGCCGCGCCGAAGGGCACAACACCCTCGACGCCATCCGGCACATGATGTTCACCGGCAACCCCGGTGTCGGCAAGACCACGGTGACGCGAGAGAGATAGGTAGCCCCGGTGTCGGCAAGACCACGGTGACGCGAGAGAGATAGGTAGCCCCGGTGTCGGCAAGACCACGGTGACGCGAGAGAGATAGGTAGCCCCGGTGTCGGCAAGACCACGGTGACGCGAGAGAGATAGGCAACCCCGGTGTCGGCAAGACCACGGTGACGCGAGAGAGAGAGGTAGCCCCGGTGTCGGCAAGACCACGGTGACGCGAGAGAGAGAGGTAGCCCCGGTGTCGGCAAGACCACGGTGACGCGAGAGAGATAGCTAGCCCCGGTGTCGGCAAGACCACGGTGACGCGAGAGAGAGAGGTAGCCCCGGTGTCGGCAAGACCACGGTGACGCGAGAGAGAGAGGTAGCCCCGGTGTCGGCAAGACCACGGTGACGCGAGAGAGAGAGGTAGCCCCGGTGTCGGCAAGACCACGGTGACGCGAGAGAGAGAGGTAGCCCCGGTGTCGGCAAGACCACGGTGACGCGAGATTGGCCCGAGATGAGCCCGAGATGGGCCGAGATGGGCCGAGATGAGCCGAGATCGAGCCCGAGATAAGAGCCGAGATAGAGCTCGAGATGGGCCGAGATGGGCCGAGATGGGCCGAGATGAGCCAGGCCGCGGCTACCACCGCGCCTCATCGAGCACGAACGGAGTCCACCACGAAGGACCCCTCTCCAGGTGTCGCGGCTGGTTGCAAGGCTGTACCACCAGCTTGGCGCCCCTGCAAGGGTGGGGGTGGGGGGTGGGGACACGGACCACGGCCGCTCAAGCCGAGGGCGATGAGTAGGCGTCTCGGCAAAGGACAGTGTGGTGGAGGTGCAGAAGGGGGACCTGGTGGCGGGGTACGTCAACCAGACGGCGATGAAGACGGCGAAGAAGATCAAGGAGGCGCGCGGCGGCATCCTCTTTGTCGACGAGGCCTACCAGCTGACGCAGGCGCTGCAGCGCGGACAGTCAGACTTCTCGGGCGAGGCGATCGACGAGATGATGAAGGTGAGGGACGCGAGGGGTTGGGAGGGGGGAGGTTGGGAGGGGGAGGGGGAGATGATGAAGGTGAGGGACGAGGGGTGGGGGGGGGGGAAGTTGGGAAAGGGGGGGGGGGGGAAGTCCCCGTTCTCCCCTTTGTCCGGACTTCCCGCCCTTTCTGGGCCCAAGGGTTTTCCCTTTGTTCGGGATTCGCGCGCCCTTTTTTGGGCCTCAGGGGTTCTCCCTTCTGTTCCCGCAATTCCCCACCCTTTTTTGCCCCCAAGGGTGTTTTCCCTTTTTTGTGCGGAATTCGCGGGACTCTTTTCTTCTCCCCGGGGT